TCCTGGTTTTGATAAACTTGACCCTCGAGTNCTTTTTCCTAGTAAACCCTTATTTTTTCTAACTTCTAAGGTTTTTTGGTATGTCGGTTATATTTATAATTTGGTCCTGGTTTTGATAAACTTGACCCTCGAGTTACCAAATGTGTATTTCTTGGTTATTCCCGCAAACAGAAAGGGTATCGTTATTACAGTCCTTCTCTGCAACGATACTTTATTAGTGCCAATGTCACATTTGAGAAATCTGTTCCATATTTTTCAGCACCTTCTTAGCCTTTGGATCTGGACTTTGGGTCATCTCCTGTACCACCATCTCTTTCCTCATCTTCAGATATTTCGCTGCCCACTGTATTACTTTCTACTTTATCTCTTTGTGTCTACTCTTGTCGTCCTCGTCCATCGACTGAGGTGCCCGTACCGTTTTCCTCACCACCTTCTGATCTTGTTACATCAGGTAATTTAGACTCTTTACTTATTATTCTTCGAAAAGATACTCGTTCGTGTGTTACTAATCATCTCATTGCTCATTTTGTTTCATATGATGTCTTGTCTTCTGTCTTCTCTTGTTTACTTCTCAATTATCTATTATATCTATTTCTAAGCATTTACAAGATGCATTATCTGATCCAGGTTAGAGGAAAGCTATGGAGGAGCAAATGTATGTCTTACATCATAATGAGACTTGGGATCTCATTCCTTTACCTCTTGGTAAACGAACTGTTGGGTGTCGTTGGGTATATACTGTTAAATTTCATCCGGATGGTTCTGTAAAACGTCTCAAAGCCCGGCTTGTTGCAAAGGGCTTTACTCAAACTTATGGTGTTGATTATAAGGAGACTTTCTCCTGTTGCCAAGATTTCCTCCGTTCGTATCTTAATTTCTTTGGCTGCTAATCTTGATTGGCCTTTATTTCAGTTAGACGTCACGAATGCCTTCCNTTCTCCTGTTGCCAAGATTTCCTCCGTTCGTATCTTAATTTCTTTGGCTGCTAATCTTGATTGGCCTTTATTTCAGTTAGACGTCACGAATGCCTTCCTACATAGTGACTTGGTTAAAGAGGTATACATGGAGCAGTCACCTAAGTTTACTGCTCAGGGGGAGTATGGTAAGAGTGTATGTTGGTTAAATAAATTTTTGTATGGTTTGAAGCAGTCACTGAGGGCATGGTTTGGTAAGTTTTTAGATATAGTTTTAGAATTTGGTCTTCTTCGATGTCAGATAGATCATTCTGTATTTCATAGACAGACAGATACTGGATATATTCTATTGATGGTCTATGTAGATGACATTGTGATTACTGAAAATGATTTTGAGGGGATTGTCAAGTTAAAAATATTTTTGTAGGATCGATTTCATACTAAGGATTTGAGAAAATTCATATATTTCTTGGGTATTGAGGTGGTTCGATCTAAACATAATNAGGATCGATTTCATACTAAGGATTTGAGAAAATTCATATATTTCTTGGGTATTGAGGTGGTTCGATCTAAACATAATATTTGTTTATCCTAGAGGAAATATGTACTTGACATGCTAGAGGAAGCAGGTTTGCTGGGTGGCAGACCTATTGATGTTCTTATGGATCTGAATCAGAAACTTTTGATGGATGATGGTGCACTGTTTGAGAATCCGGGTCTGTATCGCAGATTAGTTGGGATGCTCAATTATCTCACTATTGCTCGATTGGATATTTCCTATGCAATCAATNAGCAGGTTTGCTGGGTGGCAGACCTATTGATGTTCTTATGGATCTGAATCAGAAACTTTTGATGGATGATGGTGCACTGTTTGAGAATCCGGGTCTGTATCGCAGATTAGTTGGGATGTTCAATTATCTCACTATTGCTCGATTGGATATTTCCTATGCAATCAGTATAGTAAGTCAGTTCATAGGGTGTCCTAGAGTACTACATTGGGAGGCAGTTACTCGTATTATGCGATATCTCAAACGTNAGTCAGTTCATAGGGTGTCCTAGAGTACTACATTGGGAGGCAGTTACTCGTATTCTGCGATATCTCAAACTTNTGTTCAATTATCTCACTATTGCTCGATTGGATATTTCCTATGCAATCAGTATAGTAAGTCAGTTCATAGGGTGTCCTAGAGTACTACATTGGGAGGCAGTTACTCGTATTATGCGATATCTCAAACGTGCTCCTGGACTTGGATTGTTATATCAAGCTAATGGACATCTTAGAGTGGAAAGTTTATCAGATGCTGATTGGGCTGACTCTCCTTTTGATCGGAGATCAACCACTGATTATTGTACTTTCTTAGGTGGTAACGTNTATGCGATATCTCAAACGTGCTCCTGGACTTGGATTGTTATATCAAGCTAATGGACATCTTAGAGTGGAAAGTTTATCAGATGCTGATTGGGCTGACTCACCTTTTGATCGGAGATCAACCACTGGTTATTGTACTTTCTTAGGTGGTAACGTTGTCTCATGAAAAAGTGAGAAACAATCCGTGGTAGCAAGAACTAGTGCTGAGGCCGAGTATAGGGCAATGACGCATACGACGTGTGAGTTGACTTGACTATTACACTTTCTCCAAGAAATTGAGTTTCAAGTTTAATTTCCTTTACAGTTGTTCTGTGACAACCAGACTGCTATACATATCGCTGCCTATCCGGTGTTTTACGTGAGAACCANAACAATCCGTGGTAGCAAGAACTAGTGCTGAGGCCGAGTATAGGGCAATGACGCATACGACGTGTGAGTTGACTTGACTATTACACTTTCTCCAAGAAATTGAGTTTCCAGTTTAATTTCCTTTACAGTTGTTCTGTGATAACCAGACAGCTATCCATATCGCTGCCTATCCGGTGTTTTACGAGAGAACTAAACATATTGAGATTGATTGTCACTTTATTCGGGACAAAATAGTAACTGGGGAGATTACAACTCTATTTATGAAATCTGAAGATTAGCTTGCAGATATGTTTAACAAAGANAGACAGCTATCCATATCGCTGCCTATCCGGTGTTTTACGAGAGAACTAAACATATTGAGATTGATTGTCACTTTATTCGGGACAAAATAGTAACTGGGGAGATTACAACTCTATTTGTGAAATCTGAAGATTAGCTTGCAGATATGTTTAACAAAAAATTGAGTCGTACACGTATTATAGCGATTTGTTCCAAGTTTGGATTATATGATATATATAGTCCAGCTTGAGGGGGAGTGTTAAGAATATTAGGGTAGTATGTGTAAATTGTTAATAGTAAGATGGTGTATGTGTAATTTTTATTCTTGTGAGTTAATTATAAATACAAGTGATGTATGAGAGTTAGGTTAAGTGTTTAACCTCTCTCTTTCTCCCTAATATTGTCTCTAATATTGTGTTATGTTATTTCTCTCAACTTAACAATAATAATCAGCATTTGCTACATTTTGCCATTAATAATCTTTTATTATTGACTATTATGATCCATTAGCCAAAATATTAACTTTAGACCACAACATGTAGGATATACTTATGATAACATACTGATTTTTTTTTTTAAATGTATTATACCGTGTATAGTGATAGATTATTTGATACATAAAACATTATTATTTGTAGTGTGTAGTAATTGTGTCCGTGACTCTGTTTTTGTACTTTTTTTGACAAATTCCATGTTGTGCCATTCCATGTCCTGTGCCCATATCCGCGGTTGTGTTATTGATAAAATAGGATTTATCTTGTCCATATGGGTTATTGTGCCATATTTTTGTGATAGAATAGTTAAAAATTCTATTGGTTTAAAGGGGCTAGATGTCTTCTACAACAATTTTTAGAAAACAAACTTAAGTTCTAAGTTCTAATTCCATCTCATCTCCTGCAAATCATGTCCAGTTAATGGTTTGCCTAGCAACTCTGAAGATGCTACCCAGAGCCCTGTCTCCTTGGGTTAGGTTAGGTTACATTGGTTTGATTAGGTTAGGTTACCTACGTGGATGAAAGGATATTTTTCACATGCAAATGTTACCTCTTTTCCTTTTTATTGCAAAACTAGTATCTTTCATGAGCGAATGAATGATCAATTAATTACTGAATCCAAATAAAGCCTTGTGACATAGTTATCAAAATCATACGATTCGCGATTCGATTCGTACGATTCGGTTCGATACAAGTACAAAATGATTCGTATCTTATATGAGATTATTTTAGAGTTGAATCGCACCTGAATTGTACGATTCAATTCGTATCTCACAAATCGCACGATTCAAACACTTTTTTTTTAAATTCAAATTTTTTACAAAACGATGTCGTTTTGTCCGCTAAATAGTAAAACGATGTCGTTTTATATACAGAGGAACCTACACCCTAATAAAAACTCAACTTCTTTGCTCGTTCTCTCTTTGACATCTAAAGTTTGTCTTGCGCTGTCTAAAGTTAAAGGTTACGGCTAATACTCTCACATCATCGGTTGATTTTTGCTCTCAATTCTTTCATGGGTAGTTTGTTAAGTTCTAATTTTTTGTTTCAAAATGTTAGCCTGTATATTTTCTCTTAAACAATTTTTTTGTTTGTTATTTTTTCATTCATGTTTGTAACATAATTTATACTATGTGTTACTATTTTGATTCTTGAATAGCCATAGTTCTTCAATGAACTTTTTTTTCAAGTTGTTGAATTTGAAAATGGTTAAGGAAAAGATGAAAATGAAACTAAAAACTAGTGTCTTTCCATTTAAACGATTTGATTATGTTAATTGATTATTTTTAGAATTCAATAATGTTCAATATTTTACATTTTGTTTATTTTAAATATGTAGTATTATTTTTTTTTTTATTTAAATTTTGTGTCGAATCTTACGATTTACGATTTGATACGATTCACGATTCTCAAATTTAGGATTCCTATTCACGATACGAATCGCAATTTAACAACTATGCTTGTGATGCCCAAAGTAGTTTATTCACTTTATTATCTATCTTTAGTTATGTGCTTCTCTTTACTGATTCTTCTTTCCTGGACCTTATGTAGATATTAATTGCAGAAGCTAAGGTAATGGGCCTGGGACCGAGATTCATGTCAATTTATATTCACAAGCTAGCTGTAAGTTTTCCTCTCTTTCAAACCCCCTTCTTTGGCTTTCCACTTTCCTTGATTGACATCAAGCTATTTGCCCTCGCATGCTGGTAAATGTTTGTTTTGTGTGTGCTCATGTTTCTAGATTGAACGACGTATTTATTATGATGAAATTGAGGGCCTGACAGTGGAGTGGCTTGATGCTACATCCACGTTGGTGATCAGTTTATGTACAAATAAGCGCTTCCATAGGAGAGGTAGTCCAGGGAAGGGCAGAACACTTGAAGAAGTTGCATTGATTATTAGTCCGTATGACCTGGAGCCAAAACTAGATTTCGCCAGAGACATTTGTAACAAGAACTCTGTTTCGCCAATCGAAGGAAATATTTCAAAGTTTGGCACTTCAGGTACAATCGATATCATACCTGCTGTTTTTCCGCTCACAGTGAGTCTCCTTTCAACAATCCCTATAGCTCTTCATGCAATTGGTGGAGAGGATGGGCCCACTGATATGGTAGCAAGGCTGTATATGAGCTCATATTTTAGTTAACTGGGGTTTTAGCTTTCAGCGGAATGAAGATGACGAGGCAGAGTTACAATTGGACAGACATGACTGTCATAGGTATCAAGGTAGTGTATAGTTCAAATAGAGTTTTGGAAAAAGAATAATGTATGGTTTTGATCTGCTGAAAAGCATTTGCCAATATGCTTGAGATTGGATAGGCGTTTGTTGGGAGGTGTAGATAAGGGAGGGGTGTTGTGATGGAAGCCATGTAGTGGCTGTTGTTAAGCAAAAGCTGCTTGTGGGAAAAGGCCCTTGTTTTTGTTGGCCATTTTCATTTTCATCTAGTATAACTCAGTTGACCATGCCTATATCCAATGCAGCGGTGCTGACAATTGGGTATTTTTAATTTTGTTGATCTGCAACCCAATTATTTTTTGACTTGGGGTGTTCTCATCTGGTTCTGATTTTGTGTTCGTATGGGACATGGATGGAACTTTTGTCAGAACAAGGTTACTGGGCTGTATACATTTGATCAATAACATGGTTTCTTTGTGTTTGAATCTTTGAACTTCATTCTGTATACGTGTGGTGCTAGAAATGCCTTCTTGTATCTACCGTGCCATTTCGATATCGTTTATGACAGTTGATTTGACCCAATATTGTTTCCGTACAGTATTAGACATGCCTTATTGTATCCACTCTGCAATCCTACTGATACCAGTGTAATAATGATAGAAAGAAGTGCGGCTTGGCTGCTGTTGCCGAACTTTTGTCAACGTGTTTGTGCCCATGATATCATTAGTGGTAAAGTCTTAAATGTTTTATGAAATATTATATACCAGGGTTCCATTCAAATGCATGACCATGCGTACTTTTTCTNGTGCGGCTTGGCTGCTGTTGCCGAACTTTTGTCAACGTGTTTGTGCCCATGATATCTTTAGTGGTAAAGTCTTAAATGTTTTATGAAATATTATATACCAGGGTTCCATTCAAATGCATGACCATGCGTACTTTTTTTTAGCCTACTGGGCATTCTCGCTTATACTAAGGTTAAAATATGAGTAGAAAGTTATAATGTGGTTTAAATATAAGGGTAGTAGTTTAAATGATTTTAATGACGTGTAGTTAAAATATAAATTGTAAGATAAGTTACTTGATTTAAACGTTCTGAGCTGAGCAGTCTTGTTTTATATTAAAAATCTTTTTGTTTTATTATATAGATGTAAAATTTGACTACAGTATCGAAAAAATAATTTGGTATTGTATCTTTAATTTTTATCACTTTAATCAAGTATTTTTTTACCAACGGGTCTTTGATTCAATGATATTTCTTACCTTATCAAGGCTTTGTCGTCTTAAGGTCAAGGGTTCAAGTTTTTTTTTTCCCCAAAAAAAAAAAAATATATTTTTATAATTTTTGTGGATCATTTATCATTTTTATGAGTATTTTTATCACTGTTATTAATGTTTTTATCANAAAATAATTTGGTATTGTATCTTTAATTTTTATCACTTTAATCAAGTATTTTTTTATCAGCGGGTCTTTGATCCAATGATATTTCTTACTTTATCAAGGCTTTGTCGTCTTAATGTCAAGGGTTCAAGTTTCTTTTTTCAAAAAAAAAAAAAAAAAATTTATAATTTTTGTGGATCATTTATCATTTTTATGAGTGTTTTTATCACTGTTATAAATGTTTTTATTACATTTGTGATAACTATTTTTATCAATTTTCTTGGGTACAAAAATATTTGTCACTTTTATGTGTTTTTATCATTATTGTGATAATTATTTTTATCATTTTTTGGAATACCACATAAGTGATAAAAAGATTCATAAATATGATAAAAATAACCACAAATGTNTAACTATTTTTATCAATTTTCTTGGGTACAAAAATATTTGTCACTTTTATGTGTTTTTATCATTATTGTGATAATTATTTTTACCATTTTTTGGAATACCACATAAGTGATAAAAAGATTCATAAATATGATAAAAATAACCACAAATATAATAAATGAGTAAATGAGAAAATGATATCAAAAAATAAAATAAAATTTGATACCATAGTCAAATCTATAGATATATGATGACCAACTCCTACGAGGCTGCCCAGCAGGATTGCCGTGGTACTTATTGGGTTTCCATCATTTCACATCGTTTGACGAAATGGGTGTATGCAGTGCATGATAAGTGAGTCATGAACTGCCATTGTACAATGTGTTTTAAGACAATGTTGGCATCACAGTGATGGTACTATCCTNTCCATCATTTCACATCGTTTGACGAAATGGGTGTATGCAGTGCATGATAAGTGAGTTATGAACTGCCATTGTACAATGTGTTTTAAGACAATGTTGGCATCACAGTAATGGTACTATCCTTNCGAGGCTGCCCAGCAGGATTGCCGTGGTACTTATTGGGTTTCCATCATTTCACATCGTTTGACGAAATGGGTGTATGCAGTGCATGATAAGTGAGTCATGAACTGCCATTGTACAATGTGTTTTAAGACAATGTTGGCATCACAGTGATGGTACTATCCTTTTTTTTTTTTAATCACGGGCAATGTAGAACAATGCAGGTGAAATGCCATGAATCTATGCAAGTGTGGTGTGACATCGAGCATTTGGTTGTTAATGTCTGTCAATACTCTTAAAGAGAAGTGGAAACAAAAAAAAGAGACAAATGGAGCCAAGGAAGGAAAAGAAAATAGTAGTGGCAGCCATGCATGATGATAAATCATCTGCTGTGATATAGTATCTCTTGATGCTAAAGTAAAACAACAAAAAAAGTGAAGTGTAACAGCGCAGGACCCCTGGAAGCAGCCATGAGGGTATGTTCAGCTGTATTATTGAGCTTGTGTATGGTTTATCAAAATATATAAGCTACATCATAGATGAAGGTTTGTCGGAAAATTAACTGCATAAGAACTTACCTAAGTGAAAGGCGGGAAAGGAAGAGACAGAGGGGTGGGATCCAACTTTTGGAAAGGCTATTCCTGAACTGATTCCACTTGACAGCAACACAATGTTGAGAACAAAGAAAGTTGCAACATCATTACGCAAATTTGATCTCAAGAATCAGCCCCAGCATCTGCTAAAGCACCAGCGGCTGCAGAACTATGTTCTTCCAAAAGTTTCATTTGGCGTTCTGCATGTTCTCTTTCACAGGCGCTAATTCCCATTATTATATCAAGCATTGTACCGGTTGTGCCAAAAAAACACAAGGGGTGCCAGTGACTTCCTTTTTATCCCCACTGGTATTGCAAGCAAAGCACCGGCTACAGAGAATACCCATGTGCCTAGTGCGCTGCAGACATTAACATTTGATAAAGACATATATGGATGCTTATTTTGACAAAATAGAATTTGCATTGCCAAGTTTATAAACTGTTCAACATCTTTCATCTCGAACTTCAACTAGATGAATCTCAATTTCTAGTATATTCCAATGAATAAACAAAGCATGATCAACCCTGGCCACCAAATTTAGCAGCTTACTAGAACCTGTTCATGCCAAATAACCAAAAGACGCTCAGGACAGATGATAATCATTCCTTTCTTTTTCTTTCCTGTAATCCCAAAAAAATGAGTTTTTTTTTGCCAAAAATAATTATCATTTTACAACAAATTCCCAAACTAACACACTTCTAAAAGTAATTCCCTATCTAGTATTGTTTGCCAGTTGTACAATTGCGTGGACAGATGGCTGTCATGTTGGCTCTTTAATTTAAGGTTTTTAATTCTGAAACAAACAACCGTCTTTTAAGTATTCGGATATTCAAGATCCAACCCTGACTCCGCCATAGCTTTTGTAATCCGAAAAAACTAATGTGAACCGTGAGTGACCCAAAGAGTTGATAAAGCCAGTGGCAAAAAAGCAGGATTGAATGATTCTTCATAAATTGTTTGTCTCCAGATCATCCAACTTTACATACTTTTCACTCATTATACCAACTGCAGCATTCGAAACTCTATGAGATCTCTGATTGATTAGGAATTCTTCATGTGAGGCCACGAAAGCGTAGTCAACTTTAGGATTAAGTTTAGGGGCATGGGAGCCATGGATTGGGATGGTATGGGAAGGAGATCAGAATATAGAGAAGATAAGAATAGAAGAGAAGAAACAGAGAGAAAATCATGAGAGTGAGAATGAAGAGCGTGATGAAGATGTAGCTTTAGGGTTTCAAGAAGGGAAGGAATGTCTTCCAGCCATTTGACTTGAGGAAACACAAACAGACACACAGAAGAAGAGAATAATGCAAAAGGCCTTTTGTCTTTCCCCAAAATTTTGAACAGAATTTGATAATGTAAAGCCTGAGCATTTGATTAACCGCATAAACAAATATAACAAGTGTGCGATGGCCTGTCGTCATCATAGAACTCATTCTAAGCACTGCTATTAGACTTTCTTTTCATTTCAACAAAGTATCAGTTTTCTGCCTTTGGAAAAACTAGGAAAAAAGAGAGAGAAACCAACGTGGCATTCACTCTTGGACAACATGGCAGCACATGTGGCGGCAATAGCATTAATATGGGAATTATTTTTGTGATGATGCTTATTTTTATAGAAGAGTACTCTTTTGGTAAAAAGCTCCAAAAAACCCCATCAATAGACAATGATATTCATTAGTCAGATGACAGGAGGGGGCTAACGTAGAACTCTCGATGGAGTATAGGATAAGCTTGAATAAAGAAACAAAATTTAGTAGAAATTCGCATAGGTGAAGCAACAAAAGCTACAATCACACAAAGAGAACCATAAAGAAAAATCAAACTTGGCCAGGAAACTTTAGACCCTAGGACAGTGGAAACTTTGAAGTTCGCTCACTGCTACCTGGAAAATAAAGGGATGCAATACGTGAAAAATTATACTTTGCTGCTGTAATCTCCATATCATACCAGACAGTTCATATCTTTATCATCAGTGAATATGATTCCACACATGAACAAAAAGAAAATTTTGGAAGAGCGTTGTGGTTTTGCTATGGTTCTGGCACTGAAATGCCTCTCGAATCCTCTCCTAGTAGGATACAATAAAAAGACCATAAGCGCATTTGTGCTCCTTTTGCGAGCGACAATATATGGAAACTAAGGTTAGTCCATGTTCCAAATTTAGGTTTTACTTTTTCTATTAAACATGTTTGATCGGATATTGTTGCATTTGATTTGATCGAACATAATTAATATGAGACTGCAAATAAGACAAATCATTTGCATATTATTGGGAGAAGTTTGGAATACACCCAAAAAGAAAATCACCATACCTCGTTTTTGCCCATTCTCACCGGGTATACATTTTATTTTCCCAAACATAGTTGACTTCTTTATCCAATGAAAACAAATTCTACTTACATCTCAATGATTTTAAAATTTGAATATTTCACTCCAAAAATATGACAAATCATTTGCATATTGTTTGGGAGAAGTTTGAAATGCACCTGAAATCATTTTTACCCATCCTTACCGTCCATTTCCCTCATCCTAATTAACTTCTTTAACCAAGTGGAAAGAAATTCTATTTTGCTGTCGAAAATTCTAAAATTGAAGGCTTTATATTGTCCTCAACCCAAAACCTATGTTTTTTTTAGCAATAGCCAAGATAAAAGTTTTAACAAGAAAACAAAAAACAAAATGTGCACTTTCAAAGAAACAGCTGTGACATCTTATCAAGTAAAGGAAATTGCAGCCCACACACACACATTATAATCACATGTATATTGGATGTCTAACACTTGAAATAAAGCTTCTATCTCCGAATCCATCTACTATTTACTGCACATATTAAGAGAGAGAGAGAGAGAGAGAGAGAGAGAGTGGAAAAAACTCACTTGGAAACTGAGCACCCNCACATGTATATTGGATGTCTAACACTTGAAATAAAGCTTCTATCTCCGAATCCATCAACTATTTACTGCACATATTAAGAGAGAGAGAGAGAGAGAGTGGAAAAAACTCACTTGGAAACTGAGCACCCCTCAAGTTGCTTCACATTTTCTTGGCCTGCCATTTCCCACCTCAGCTGAACCTTGTTCCTGCATAGACTCACATAAGGCAGTCCTCTTCAAACCTATTTGAACCTTTTGTAAGAATCAAATGAACAGAAAAGCTCCCAGTGACATAGCAATTGGAATAAGAAAGAAATAAAATCATCGTTCAGTTATGTTTCTCACCAATTGATATTTTCTTCTAATTTTTGGGGAATGTGTTCTGAAATTTTAACCAATTAAACAACGAACTCTTGAGAATAACTTTATCCAATAATCTCCAAAACCCTGAAAAGTATAAATTCAAACCCAGTAAATCAAAGCAATCAATCTTCAAACTCGAAGTATACTCGAAATCCATCACAATATGGTGAACAGACACATATATGTTTACATACTGGAATACACGTTGTAAGAATGTACATATAACTCATACAAGAAATGATAACGGTGAAAAAAACTTACAAGATTGGAGTTATGAAAAACCCAAAGATTGGGATTTTAGAGAGAGAGATATGAAGGTGGCTGCCGGATTTGCTGAGAAGTAAACGCAGTTTTGACCCAAACTTTATACGACCATTTTCACTTCCATTTAATTATATATGCTTCAAACTATTACGTTGACCCAATTTTTTTTTTCCATTAATTATTAAACTCGTTCCCTCTATTTTTACTAATTAAAAATTAAATTTATTTAATTTTATTTCAACTTATATAGTTAATGATCAATATTTTATTTCGATATATTATTTCAATACAAAAATATTTCAGAAACAGAATAAAAATTAACAATTATTTTTAAAATATTAGTTAAAATATACCAAAATAGTTTAAAATATCTCAAAATATTATAAATATATTGGTGAAAATATATCAAAATATCTCAAAACACCTTGAAATAATATAAATCACCTCGAAACATTGAAATTTTACTTTAATTACTATTTTTGTTTCGATTTTTTTGACAGATATTTGGCAGTTTAATTGAATGAGTATAAACGGATTAAATTTAGTAATTAATAGAGTGGATATAGATGAAGTGAATTTTGTAGTTTGAAGTAAAACGATTAAACAAAATGAATAAAGAGATTTAAAGGGTGAGAATAACTCCACCCTTATAAACTTTTTCAAGTGTAATTCATATCTTTAATGAGTGTGATTAATTATAGAAGGTTGAGATCGACCATAACCTTCCATTGAGTAGTTATAACTTCTCCAATACAGCATTCACAAACTTTCCCTAGTAATTAGTAGTGATAATCGGGGTCAGTCATTTATAGAAATTTTATACATAATTGTAAGTCCATACATTAAAATATTTGATCCCAAGTCTCATTCATATTCTTTTAATGAGTAATTAAATCTTTTTTTTTAAAACAAAAAAACACTTANCAATCAATCTTCAAACTCGAAGTATACTCGAAATCCATCACAATATGGTGAACAGACACATATATGTTTACATACTGGAATACACGTTGTAAGAATGTACATATAACTCATACAAGAAATGATAACGGTGAAAAAAACTTACAAGATTGGAGTTATGAAAAACCCAAAGATTGGGATTTTAGAGAGAGAGATATGAAGGTGGCTGCCGGATTTGCTGAGAAGTAAACGCAGTTTTGACCCAAACTTTATACGACCATTTTCACTTCCATTTAATTATATATGCTTCAAACTATTACGTTGACCCAATTTTTTTTCCCATTAATTATTAAACTCGGTCCCTCTATTTTTACTAATTAAAAATTAAATTTATTTAATTTTATTTCAACTTATATAGTTAATGATCAAAATTTTATTTCGATGTNTTTTTTAAATATGTAAATATATATATTTATATATTATATGACACTCTCGCTCTCAAATTTTTTTTATAATTTTATGCTTCACTCATGTTCTGTGTGACTTAGATATATATCACGTTGATTGCAGTTTTCAAACTCGAGAAATCATTTATCCTTGTTTGACGGTNCCTCGAAACATTGAAATTTTACTTTAATTACTATTTTTGTTTCGATTTTTTTGACAAATATTTGGCAGTTTAATTGAATGAGTATAAACGGATTAAATTTAGTGATTAATAGAGTGGATATAGATGAAGTGAATTTTGTAGTTTGAAGTAAAACGATTAAACAAAATGAAAAAAGAGATTTAAAGGGTGAGAAAAACTCCACCCTTATTAACC